TATGAGGTGGTAGCGGGTAGATATTCCGTTCAAAAAAATTATAATAATTGAAAAGTATCATTAGCTAGCTTTAAATATATGGTTGATTCCCCTCCATTGGTTATTTTCATTATTTTTATCGAAGTTTTGTTATTGCAATATGTTGAATGAGCTATTGTTGCTTGGCCGGTCACATTTGGTGCACTTAAAACTCTTGCAGATTTATATTTACTGTTGTCATTTAACTTTGGTGGGGGCCTTTATGAGATTATTATAATATAAATCCTTTTTTTCTTCTTTGTTTAAGACAAAAAAAGAGGGAGAATTAGCATCCTCAAAGAAGGATTTTGATCATTATCCATTGAATAAGATTAATTAATTAGCAAAAGAAGGTTTGCTAATTATGAGTAAATTGGGTGTTTTTACTTATTTTTTGGTGATTAATTAGGGGGTGTCATGGGATTACCAACCTCTATCTTCTACATAGCATCAATCTTAACTGATTTAAGGGTTAGGTGGGCCTTAATGATGGTTGTTCTTGCTCACAAGAATTGATCAAAAGATTAAAATCAAATATGATAAATTAATGATTATTTTTAATCTAAAAGAATTAATAATATATGATTGTCGTAAGAATTGTAGAATAGGTGAGGGTTAGAAAATCGTATTGAATTGATTGGTTCAACTGATGCAATTGTGAAGTACTTCCGTGATAGATTCAATCTAGATTTAAAATTATATTTGCTCAGAACTAGATAGAATTGAGAAGAACCTGAAGATCAACCAGTAAATTCGTGACTTGGTTGCGATTTTGTTGAACTGTCTAGTTCATATCATGATCAAATTATTATCATTTATTTTTACCAGTCGAGTAGATATAAATAGTTTACACTAAATAAATTAATAAAACTTTTTAACCCTAAGTCCTAACTCAAATAGCCCCTCAAATTTCTAGTATGAACCGTTCGCTCCCATCACAACTTGGCTTTTTTTGCATCTATTCGCTCCATTCACCTCCTTCGCGCCCATTCGTCCCTTTCTATTCCCCTTCAATTCTCCTCCTCGCAACTCGACTAATGCAAGCATTTTAACAATTCTAGCAGTTCCTTCCACCACAATATTCAAGACAATTACATGTTCAAATGTTTAAATCATTCTTTTTTATGTGATTTTTTTTTTTTTTTCATATTCTTAGCTATATGTGAAACTTTTAAGAGAGATAAAAAGTTTATAGGAAAGGGTGATGGATGGGTATTCCTTATAGGTTGTGTAAGAATGTTAACTTGTATGTAATGGTTAAATCACTTCAAAAATAATTACAATTAAGAACTTCATTCTCTAAACTACAAGAATATTTATAAGTGTTGAAATTATGTAATATTAAGCTCTAAATAAAATTTATTCTATAGCATTAGCTCTCAATATAATTCTAATATTTATTGCAACATTAAGCATGATTCAAATGATTTTAGCGGAATTTACATATCTAACACTCATTTTTTTTTTGTAATTACATATCAAACATCTACTTCTTTCTATTTATTTATATAACACCTTAAGCTCTATTATTAAGAAACTCATCGTGGGTAATTTCATCCATGAGAAAAAGAATCATTCCTAGGTGACCAATATTATGTTTATCAGAAAAAAAAAAAAGACCAGTTATGCATATCTTCAACTTTTTTTTATTATTTTAATAAAGTGTGTCCTAATAATGACAAATATATTAAGAAAGACTTATGATCAAATGGGTTTCTTGGGCAAGGCCATACATGTTTGCTACAATTGGTTTAATGCTCATTTGAAGGAGATAAAGGTGAGCTAAGAAACTAGGATCTTGCCTCATTTTTTATTAGTGGGATGACCAACACTATTTGTTGGCTCACCATAATTTATTTCCCCTTCATATAAAGAGCTTTAAGAAAGGGAATAAAGAACTTAAAATTCTCTTTAATAGCTTAGGAACCTGTCCAAATGCCTCATATGAGATGTATAAATGGATAACCTAGCCACCCACTGTGAGACCTCGTTCCCTTACTGTTCCTCTCTGATTTGGATTTTTCTCTCAGGATCGTCCAGGACGATTTTAGATCGTCCAGGCCGATCGGCACTGTAGAAAATATCGCCCTGAGAATAGTTCTGGGAACCGTCCAGGACAATATTTTTGGTCTGATCGTCCCGGGACGATTTGGCGATCGGCCGGGCCGATCAGACAAATGATTTAAAGAAATCAGCTCGTTTTGAGGAGAGAGAAAATCATTTTAAAATAAAAATATCTGATTTGAGGAGAGAGAAAGAGAAGGGAAAAGAGGAGAAACCTGGTTTTGGAGGCCGCGGAGCGCTTTTCGTTCGACGCTGCTGTTGGGAAAAGTGAAGATCTCGTGGTAAGGACTCCGAACCCTATTTCTGTTTTCAAAGATATTGAGTTTTGACCGAGTTGTGATCTGTTTTGTATTTTCGTAGTCGACTTTTCGACATGATTTGATATTGACACAACTTTCACCGCACAACTTTTAGTATGTTATAGATATGATTATTGTACACGATTTGAGTATATTCTGCGACGATTTTACCGGTCGGAATTGATTCTACGTGATATATATATATATATATATATTCCTATGACCACTAATGATCAAATTCAAGTCAATTTGGGTTAATAAGCTTAATTACACCGAATTGGGTCAAGTAGGTCAAATGGATACAATTAGGTCAACTTGGGCTTAGGCAATTAAATGGATAAAGTAAGGCTTGATCTAAACTTCCATAATTATTAAGGACCAAGTTTAAGGAAATTTAGATTACATAAGGTTTAAGCTTACTAAGAAGATTAGTATTTTTTTTTTTCATATGGACCTCTAATAGAATATTGATATCAATTAGGTCATCAAATAGAGTAGGGGTCAGACTTAGGTCAAATATTGTATTATCTTGGCCATGTTTGACTAGTTGGACAAATGTAGGCCCAATGATATATTTAGATTAACTTTGCTAGTCATAGGAGAACTTGGGTTATCTAATCTTAGAGTTGGCAAAGTCATGTGTAAGTCAAATTGAGTTGATCACTTAACTCCTTCTATGGATATTTATAGTTTCACTAGCTTAAGAAATGGTTGAAATATGTAATGATCCTAGCTTGATTCAAATCTAGGTTGATTCGACTTATAAGGCCTAATGGTAGGATGGGAGCTAATCTATTTTAAAAAAGAGGTCAACAAATATACCTCTAATAGATGTGGTGGATTCCATAATAGTGCACCACACATAATAGTATTAACTGGAGTCTAAATAATGATCGATGATTAGATGAAGTTTATCTTTCCATGACTCAAAGATCTACTACTAAAATAAAATTTGTTTAGAGTTTGTTCAATTCTAACAACTTAATCTCAGGAGGTGTAAAGACTCTTATGGTTCAAGTTAGTTGAGATATGATGGAAAAATTTCTATTCTATGATAAGAGATGCAACTCATTGCCACTAAAATTTGAATGTGGGTTTCATTCTCTATTGGAGAAGGGAGGATTTTGATTCCTCTTTTTAATAATCCATAACTAAAATGAATCTTCTCTAAAGGAAATTTTTGAGAATGATACTCATTTAAAACTAAACTTGCTAGACTAATCTATTTTTTGTTGTTTCATCTCAAATAGAACTTTGTCTTTGTCTAATATTTTATCATAGCTATCCCAGTCTAATTTTTATAATATTCTAAAATATTATATATTTGAGGTGGCTAACAAATTATTATGGAATTGGAAAATTTTTTCTCCTTGTCAAATAAGACATATGCATTATTTGCTAACCCATTTGATCTCTCTCTTTGCTCTTATATCTTCTTTGAATTTGTTATCACACCTCATTTGTTGGTTTTTTTATTGGTAGCATGGGTGGGCACTGCACTGGTGATCAATGATGTATGCACATCCCAGTTGCATTTATGACCTTGGTTATTAACAACTATAAATATTGCACTTAGGTAGCTTACTTGTGGATGATATGGCTATCAAGATTTTATAAATACTATTTCTTTGAGACTATCTCCTCTTTCGGAGCTATCTTTTTTAGGATTTCATTTTTTTATGTTATTGGAGCTATTAAAGCTCTTTTTGTAGTTCAACATATAAAACTACTCTTCATTCAATATCGTGCAGCAAAATACCTATCTTAAAATATAATTTATTTATTTTTTCAAGCACATCATTTAATCAATTAAGGACAAATCTATGCCAAATTTTCTCAATCTACTCCTAATTTATCGAGTCTTTCTTTGGATAGTTATAATTTAATATTACATATATTTATTTGATTTTTTATTTTGAGCCATTTGATCTTACTATATAATTATAAGTAGATCTTTTTACCTTTTTATAAATAAAAATTGTGTTATGAGTTATGACTCTAAACATTCAAAAAAATATACATAGATCATTTAAAAACAAACGGTAACCAAGTGGCAGTAACGTTATTACAATCAGACAGAGCCCCTTTTCTGTGGGCTATTTTAATTTTTCTATTTTCGGAACAACAGTAAACATCCGTTTACCGTTCAGGTAAGTTCTTTGAAAAGCTGAGTTCCTTATCCAGAACGACAGCCTGGGTGTCTAAGTGAAATAAGTAGCGAGAGTTTAAATTAAAAAATAAAAAATAAAAATAAAAATCGGACGGACGCCGCTATTGGCGTTCGAAAAACGACAACCATCTCTGGGCCCCACGGGTGGTTCATTGGCAGGCCTTCGAGATGGCCGGGTGGTCCTCTTTTGGGTCCAAAAATGGTCTTTGTAAATTTTGCCATGGAAAGTAGCAGTTAGTGCTTTCCTTCCTCACGTGTGGAGTGCCATCCCCGGATGCGCCACTCATTATCAAAGCTCCCGCATGATGGTTTCCATGCGGTCACTAAGTAGACGGCAGATCGATGCGCTCGCATAGGAAAACAATTATGCGTGGATCAAGATGGAATGATGAATATTTCCTGGAGTTTGGAGTACTTTTCTGCAAATTTAATTTCATCCTCGTTTACGATAATGCCCTGGGAGCGAGGGCTTGGCCGGGAAAAAGAGGGCGCTTTAAAAGCAGCGGGAGGTTGGGGAGCAACGAAACGGAGAGGATTGGGGGTTCGAGATTTGACTGGCCGTCGGTGATCACCTGTAGTTTTTATTTTTTAATGGTGGTCATCGGTTGCTTTGGGTTTCCTCCGATTCCGTCCACGTTTCCGTTAGATTTTCCGGCGGGATCCCGACGATCCGGCGAAGCTATTAGGATCGTCGGCGTTTGGCTCCGGTGAGATTCTTGGAGCCCATATAATGGTTTGACGGTAGATAATTCAAAATCGGTCTTGGTTATATCGTCATTTTGACTTTTTTGTTTCTTTTTTTGTCGTGTTAGACGGTGAGTTTTTTGGCTAGGAGGTAATGGAAAGATTGTTCTGCGAGTTTCAGTGGTTTATTAAAGGTGTAATTAGACTGGAGGGGAAGGCTGGTTCTACTGGAGCGAAGATATTTTGTTTAGTGATACTCCGAGCTTTTGTTTTAAAGGTTCTTAAATGCTTTTGTTCTCGCGGTTTTTTTGTATTTTTTTGCAGGCGAGGATAAGCTGTGATGCATAACATGGCGGGAGTACTGTTGCAATAAGAATTCTAAATCCATCTCTGTTCGGATTCTGATTCTCGAACGCGGATCTATATTTCTGAAACTTTAATTGTTAGTTTAGATCGGGCCAAACGTCTACGAGCCTAGAAATGTGGATTTATGAATGTATGATAGAGATGAGTTGAAGGTGACGTTCGTGATTGATCTGGTTTTTGTTTTCATTCCTCGGTGTCTTTCAGGGGCAATTCCAAAGATCCAGGTTGATCTGAGGTGAGTTTAATGGTGGAGTCTTTCATTTGTTACCGTAGTCATCTTTGCTTCCTTTCTTAGATGAATTTGTTTCCATTTCTTGCAAGTTATTAGATCCTTATTTTTATTCTTTATCTGTTTAATTATCCATTTCTTGTGAGTTATTAGTTCTGCTTCGATTATAAGACCGAAATTGGGACCTGGAGCCTGTGCTTTATGGAACCAATTCCTTACCACGATTATATAATATGCTTAGGAATGTGTTGAACGATTTTCTGACAGGTTTCATCTTGACGCATCCTCCAAATATCACGGATATTAATTTCTTTCCATGAAAATCATTGCTATAGGAAATAAATGAAAGAACGTTGAAGAGGTAGCTTTTAGACAAAGACCTTATAGTTACTCGCATGTAATTCGTCTAAACTTGTTTGGATTCATCGTTTTGAAGGCTCCTAGGAAAGTGGCAACTAATAGAGATTTTCTTGCCTGATTCAAATATTTTCTTTAAAACGTTAGCTTTGGAGATGTGCCCCGTTAAGATGACCAAAACTTATTGTTTCTTATTGTTTGAAATGATTTCCTTAGGTTCTTCAGAAAAGAATCAATGAAAATATTTTCTTTCCCTCGAGTAAGGTTGTGCTTGCCATGATGGCGAGGTTCTGTTGCTCTGCATGTCTTAGGGCATCTCCAACCGAATGCCAAACATGCCTATGGCGTGGTTCGATCACTCCAGCCGAACGTCAAATCTTCCGCTATTTGCTCTCCGGTGAACAGTGCGACGCCAATATTGGCATGTCACTGTTCACCTACGCGATTTTTTTGTCTCAACCGGATTTGCCGTAGAAACGCACGAAAGAGGGGAAAGACGGTTACGTTGGTAGAAACGTGCAAAATGGAGTTCTATTGGAGATGAATCACGGCATTTTTGAGTTTCACTGCATTTTGGAGTGAAAAATGGGATTTTCAGTTGGAGATGCTATTACTGAAGCCATCCTTTCATGGTTTAGGAAGCCACTTTCTCTTGATTTTTTGCAATATACAGAAACCTTGCCCGCAAAGCCGTGAAGATGGTTGTCGCGTTGACTCATATGTTGCTCGTCTTGATAATTACAGTGATATCATGGCAAACATGCTCTAAGTGTAAAATAATCCAACTGCCACATAATTTCGTGTGGGGATCTATTTAATCTAACAAATAAATTATGATGACTAAATATAATTTTGTGAATTTGAACTGATTTAATTTTGAGGAAGACTCGGTTTTTTTATGCGCTTTTCTTCAGACTACTGGAAGTGATAATATATTTTACTAATTTAATTGAAATATGATTGGTTTAAATCAATATTCTCCTACTTCACTAGTAAATTCATTAATCTCACAACTTGTCTGGCATTTTTGGTTATCTGTTGTTAAGTAGGCACATGCAATATTAGTTTCATGGCTGAACTGATAGGTTTTCCTTCATTTCTCTAGCAGCACTATTGAACTTCTAGAAAGGCATACGATGTTTCTAACTCATTCCTTCCAAAATAAGAGTGACAAGGGTGTTTTGACTGAATCAAAAAGCATGTTTGGAACTCAAGGAGGTTTGCATCATCAAAAGTCCGTGTCCATGGAACAGGATTGCTGCTCTTTTCATGGAAGTCTGTTGGAATTCATGCTTATAGCCAAAAATGTGAGCCTTTTAAAAGAGATGAAGCAATCTCTATTCGAGATGGACCTGGTTAAGTCCTGCGTGGATGCGACGGAACTGACAGAAAAGAAAATGACAGTTAAAATGCAGCCTGGAAATTCTTACAATGTGCAAAGATCTAATGAATGTCTTATACCAGGACTTCATGATGATATAGCTCTAGACTGTTTGGCCTTCGCTTGTAGATCAGATTATCCTTCACTTGCTTGTCTAAATAAAAGCTTTAATTTATTGGTTGGTAGTGGATATCTATACAAATGGAGGAGACGGCTCGGCATCATTGAGCATTGGGTATATCTAGCTTGTAGTTTAATGCCATGGGAGGCATTTGATCCTACAAGGCTGAGGTGGATGAGGCTGCCCCGGATGCCTTGTGACGACTGTTTTTCTTATGCTGATAAGGAGTCTCTTGCTGTGGGGACTCAACTCCTTGTATTTGGTAGGGAGTTAACGGGTTTTGCTATCTGGATGTATAGCTTAGTAAGACGTGATTGGTCACGTTGTCCTCTGATGAACTTACCTCGCTGTCTATTTGGTTCCAGCAGCTCCGGTGAAATTGCTATTTTTGCTGGTGGAAGTGATAAGAACGGCCATGTTTTAAAATGCGCCGAGATGTACAATTCCGAGTTGGGTATATGGGAATCTTTACCTGATATGAACTTGCCAAGGAAAATGTGTTCCGGTTTTTTCTTGGATGGTAATTTTTATGTTATAGGGGGCATGTCAAGCCATACTGATTCTTTAACATGTGGTGAAGAATATAATCTTGAGACAAGGACATGGAGGAGAATCCAAAATATGTACCCTGGTGGTAATTTGGCAACCCAGTCTCCACCCCTAGTTGCAGTTGTAAATAACCAACTTTATGCTGCTGACCAATCAACAAATGAAGTTAAGAAGTATGATAAAGTGAATAATACTTGGAATGTTGTAAAGCCTTTACCTGTGAGAGCTAATTATTATAATGGTTGGGGTCTTGCATTCAAGGCATGTGGTGACAAATTATTGGTGATTGGTGGACATAGAGAACCGCAAGGTGAAGTCATTGTGCTATGGTCTTGGTGTCCTGAGGATACAAATAATGGAGGACCAGAGTGGGATGTGCTATCTGTTAGAGAACGGGCTGGTGCTTTTGTTTACAATTGTGCAATAATGGGTTGCTGATGAAAATTACCACATTATGGATACGCTATGAATACAGAAGCTTTAGTATTGGAGAAGGCAATTAAAGGGCTTGTACCTGCTGCATGAATTTCTCTTCCATGCAGAGTCTTCTTTGGAATTTGTGTATTGGAGAAAGCTATTATCTCATTTAATTGGTGAAGCAGATTGTTGTTCTTTGGTATTTTTCTGTTTCATGTAATTTTACTCGTTAGCTTCTCTGTTGGCATTACCTTTGGAGCACTTTCTGTTGAGCAGCATTTAGCTTTTTTGGAGGCTTCTTCACTTCCCCCTTGTACTCTCCATTCCCCTCCCCCTTTCTTCCTCTCTTCCCATTGTCATCAATCTAAATTAATAATCTTAGGGGCATTGGCATAAAATGCTATGTAGTATGAACGAAACTTACAAAAGTAGCTGACTTATTTAAACTTCTATCTTTGTTTCACATTTAGTATCTATCTATGTGCTACTGTGTGCATGACCCTGTTTATTTTAACATCTCTATGCCCCTGCTTTGTCAAAATATTCTAGTAGCCTTCTGCAAATAATGCTATCTTTGTCTTGTTTGTCTTATAGAATTCTCAATATTCTATTCATTACTGGCATAGTTCTATAATTTCTTATGACTTAGCATGTGAAGGTTTTTTTTTTTCCATTTTTTAAATAATGAGTTCAAGTTTTCAACTTAGTGTTTTCTCTTTTTAACTGCAATATAGTTTTTGCTTTAATGCAATCCTATGTAGTTTGTCTATGATACATCAACACTACTAGAAAGCAGGATGCAGTGTTTGACACATTTAAGCATGTCTCCTACATGCCTCTGATATGTATAGGACATGTCGTTAGCATGTCCAATTTAAAAAATGAAAAAAAAAAAAAAAAAGTGTCGGCCAAGCATTTTATTGAATAATAAGTCATCACACAATCAACCTACCTGGATCCCTCGCATCAGGCCCATAACTCATCACTAACTCCTATCTTCTCTCAAACATGGAAAGCTACGAATTTTTTTAAAACTAATCTATTTTTTTCTAATATTTAAAAAGGTTGCATCGTTGTAGTCAATTAAACTATAATTAAACTCAAGAAGTTAGGTTGGAGGATTTATTGTTAAACTATATAGAATTGTATTTATTGGGGTTAATTGTCATTTTTCTTTCATTAATTCTCATTTCATTTTTATTTAATTCGTGCCATTTCTATATAATATTTTTAATTTTTAAAATAAATAAAATTATAAAGATGTGCCAAAATATATCATTGTCCTATATTTTCAATAAGAGGCATCATTGATTTTGTCAGGTCCATATTAGTGCATCTTATTATATGCTGTTTGCATCATAGTATATGTTGAAACTCATTTATCTCTTTTTTCCCTTTTACTTTGCATATGATGTTTCTTTACCTGCTAATTTTTAGCTTTTAGATGGTTATTTTGGTGATTCGAAGAGCATATTTAACACAATTTACATTCTCTCCATTGTTTAATTCCTGCTTGGTTTCTCTAGGCAAAGTGCTCACAGTATGAACAAGTGTTTTTCTGGAGGATAAAATAATTATCGGTTATGTTTCAGTGCAGCTGAATTTGATGATGAGAATTGTCATCCTTACTTTTTCTTTTTTATTGCTTCCACAAGCACATATTGAATGTATTTTTAGTCCTTCAACTTGGTGAGTATCTTGATATCTTGTCCTGACATATATTTTGGCCTACATAACTCAATGTTATTTTAAGCTCTAAGGTTTCAAATTTGTATTCATATTTTTTGTTGTTTTCCTCTATGGTTATTACTCTTCTTGTTCTCTCTTGCCTTCAATATAGTGCACTGGCATTAAATGAAATTCATCAAAAACAACTATGGTCCCAACTCAAGGATGAATAGCAAACGTATGCTACTTGTCTTTTTTCATTTCTATTACTTTGTGTTTGATTTGCATTTCCATTTATTGTCCTCTTCCGTTAGAAGCAGAAAATCTCTCCAAGAAAAGTTTCTTTAAGTGATACAAGGCTTAGTAGGAATTTTGTGCGTTATAAATCATGTAAACTACGATTGAAATTGTTTGTTTTTTTATGCCATCCAATAAGGCAATGTTAGGCCGTTTAATGAGCAAGATACATTTGTCGTAGTGGTACCTATTGGTTGCCCTCTTTTAGTTGTCTTTCAATTTTCAAACAATGCCTGTGGCCTTATCATATTACCTACTTAGAAACCAAAACAATAGATTTGTCGTAGAGGTACCTATTGTAACAATTTCCATTAGACAATACAAGTAGATTGCAGTGCAAACCAAATCTTATGAGAAACAGAAGAAGCCAAGTTTCTAATGGTCAATGACGGAGATCAATTGTAAGCAGCGTCTGTCTGTCGAGGTGAGAGGTGTGACAATAGGACAAAGTAGTACCTCGTTTGGATGGAGCAACAACACTGCAATCTAAATTATGATGCAAATCAATCCAAATGAAAATTGATGATTTATGATGCAATTCAATCCAAATTATTTGTGGTAAGACTAATGATGATGATTATAATTATGCTTTCTCAGTTGACTATGTAGGTTTTGTGTGGGACAGCTTTCTTATTGCCAAAAAATTTTAATTTAAAAATTTTTTATACTAGAAAGCAGTAAGAAAGTTGTCCCAAATGAACTCATAATCAGTCATCATATGACTCCAATGTAGACTTATTTGATATCCCAAGTATTAGTCATTAATACTTTAATAAAGCAACTAATTAGTAGCATTAGCAACAAGAATTCAGCGTGATTATGTAAGAAAAAAAATTCTTGGTGTTATCTTGAGGAATCATTCTACTACCGAAATAAGACTCTTTCCCAGGGCTTAACTAAGACCTACTTACTCTTTTCCTAGTCCATCCTGTGCTATTTGAATCCAGTAGAACATTAACACAGTTAAACATGTGTTGGGCTAAATAAAAAGGGTCTTTTCCATCAACTATTCTTTTCCTATAGCTGATCTTTCATGGCTTCTTAAGGTCAGGATAGATTTAGGCTTCATTTGGGACGGCTTTCTTACTATTTTATAAAACAGCTATGCCATGTGTTGTAAAGGCATGATGATATTATAATATTATTTTATACAATAATATAGCATTAGCACAACATCAATACACAGCTGCATCAGATTTATTCTTATTGTTGTCATTGTCAAACATTCACGGCCGGGCTTTTTTTACTACTTTCTTTGGGATAACAATAAACAATCAATGCCGACGTAATATGGCATATTGGCATATTGGAGAAAAAGGCAGCTTTAACGCTAACAAAGTTTAATTTTGCCACGAATTTAGTTTTGGGTTTATCTGTAGGCTTTAAATTGACAAAGCAATTCATCAATAGAAAATTCAATGTGGAATTGAGAACGTCTGGTATTTTCTTTCAGGCCTTTTGTGATTGGAACTTACTGCTTTGAATTTCCTTTTGTCTTTGTGATGGGACTCTGTATACATACTTTAATTATTCTGTGTTGAAGGTTGTTTTCGCTGAAATTGTCTCTGAGACAACTTTCCTTGGCCTATTGGTTGAGAGCTTAGGCTTCAAACTAAGAGGTCCAAGGTTCGAGTCTATGTGTATGCGTTGTGTGTGTGAGTTTGCCTTAATTGGCCTAAATGTCCCAAAAAAAAGAAATTGTCTCTGATTCTGACATTATGATTTTTGCATTTTCGTTTTTTGTTATCAGTTTTTTGGAGTGTTTCCATTTTTAAGTGTTTCATATAAACTCAGGCTTCATTTGGTACAGCTTTATAGCTGTTTTTTAAAAAATTATTTTAAAAAACAGTAAGAAAGTCGTCCCAAATGAAGCCTCGGTCTTATTTTTACTTGTTGCTATGCTAACAAGTTGGTTGCCACTCTGAAGCTTCCTATCCTCGCCGAGCGTTTCAATGGGGCGTACTGGGAGAAAGAATTGCTGGTTATTTGTTCAAAGGGATTCTAGAATTGATCGCCAAAACACAGATCTCTCAAATTCAAAATCTTTTTTTTAATTTCCCACTTCTCTACGTTCTATTGGGCATTTTACTTCAATTTGTAACTCATAATAACTACTATTTCTACTGTATTAAGAACATTTCTTAAACTTCGCAATTCAAAATCATTATCCCTTATTTGGGTTTGTATTACTCATATGCATGTTTGCGTGTGAATATTCATTTTCCTGTTTGGTTATATAAGAAGAGACGATGATAGTTGTTTGTATGACTTTGTATTAATTTGTTTCATTTTTGTATTTAATTTTTGTTAGTAGCCAATGAATGTGGATAGGTTTTATTTTTCCCCAATAAAAAGAGAGATGGAGCTATCTACTTAATATCAATTTTAAATTTGTTGCAAAATGCCATGAATTTTAAACCAGTTCACAATAAAAATTTCGTTCTAATCGAGCCTGCAATTGAGATTAGCTTGAACAGTTTAATCGAGCTTGAGCTAATGAGCCAAACTCGAGCCTAAGTTTCAGATACATGAGTCAAGTTCGAGCTCAAATTTGAGCCACCTAAAATATATGCTAGCCGAGCTTGACATGTTAAGGCTCGAGCTGGACTCTTTTACGCCCCTAATGACAACAAATAATAATATTAAACTTTCTCTTCATAATTAAAAAAATAATTTGTAATGAATATGAATATATTAACTTTTTTGGGGTAGTTTGATTATTTAAAAAAGAAATGCATGGTAAAAAAGAAAATGTAATGTAAATGGAATATATGTAAAAGGCATATAGTAGTGTTGTTTGGATAAGTGTAAATTTTTTTTTTAGAAAATGATAAATGTAAAGTAAATTCAAATGAAGGATTTTTTTTTTTTTTAATGAATGCAAAGTTTAAAGATGGTGGTGAATGATGAGTTGCGGCTACGGTTAGCAGTGGGTGGCAAC